TAGGAAGCAATGGGTCTTGAGTTGCTCATATGTGTCAAGTCAGATACTGACTTAAAGGGCTTTGACTCTTTTTACTGATAACTACACAAATTTTCCCCTAAGAGGACTGTCAAACAGACAAGGGACTAGAATCAGTGAATTATCAGAAGGCAAATATTGTCTTGAGTCTACATAGCCCCAAATGCATATGAATAGCTTATTGGTACCATAAACGTATGACCATGAATTATGGGAATTACAAGTTGCATTTAGATCTCCAGCGGGTTTATGTTAAGTTGGGTTAAGATTTCTTTGCAAATTTTCATAGCCATTTAATTGACATCATTCCCAGGAGGAAGATGTACAATGGTAGTTCATTTTAAAGTGTACATACTAGTTTCATTTAAAATAGAAGTAAATTAAGATTAAAAAAAAAAATTAAAAACTCTGATATCCCTTAAAAAAACAAACCATTTATTTTGATGTAAATGTAAATAAGAGTATTTAAAAAGTACAATAACTGGTTAAGATCTCATGCTTTGGTACAATGTATGTCTTAAGTAATTTCCTTGAAAATCTGAGTTTAATGCTTTAGCTGTTAACATGGACGTATGAAAACATGTAAAAATATTACAAGGGGATGCTTGTTGTCCTAGTGCCATTCCATAAAAGTTTGCAGGAGGAGCTGTCTTGTTTTTATGTCCTAATCAAGAGAATTACCCTATGCAGGTTGAGTCAAAAATAATTGAAGAAAACCATCAGAAATTGTAGATCCTTGAGTGATGTGAAGGTTACAATGTACAACCTTTGAAAATTTTCTTAGGGTACCAAACATCACTTTTAAATTAGGACTCTTTAGTCTACACTTTTGTTATGCTTGTGGTATTGATACAGGAGCATGTTGATAAAGCAGTAGTTACAGTTGTGTAAGTTGTAAAGAATATTGACTAAAGAAATGAGGTTTTCAAAAATAGGCCCTGATATTGGTTACCACTGAAAGCTCTATTTGTTACCAGGCTGGTCCTTTCAGGATTTTTGTTGCCAGTGAAAATATAGTTGTTTGTATATGAAAGGTGTGGGTGGTCTTTCTTATCAGAGTGGCGTAAGGAATTCATAGTTGATATCTGAGTACATGAATTTAAAGGGGCTCTGAACCAACATAAAGAACTTAATAAAAGTAGCAGAACTAATTCTCTTCTTTTACAGTTGCCATAAGTACAGCAAAAACAAAAACTTGTGACATTTGGGTATTCAAACTATTTCTCTTATTGTTGCCATCAAATTTTAAACTAATTTACCTTTCAAATGACGCAGTTATTGATAAATACATTACAGCTTTACAGCTTCAGGAAATTGTCACTGGCTGGACGGGTGTGTGCAGAAATCTTCCGTAGGGGCGCGGCACAATTTCACTTTGTCAGGAATTAAGCATCCCTTTGTTTGAGTTATAAACTTTGTCAATGAAATTCATCCTGGCTTCCATTTCAGTTGTGCCTCTAAAATTGACTAAAAACATGGCAAGATTTCCATATAACCCCATACTTTAATTATGCATAGAGTGTTGCAAAGAAACCTTTATATTTAGTCTTTATGAAATGGAATGCATAATTGATGTATGGGGTTATATGGAAATCTATCCAAAAACATTATTACTTGTTAGTTATGTGGAGTTGGGGAGTTACATGAATTAATATTTTCTACCAGCATCGTGAATAATTATCCAATTTAAAGTTTGAAGTACACTCTTACAGTAGCGCTGTGCTTCATGAGAACACATTGTTCTTGGGGACGTTGACCCGTTGTTCTGAAAACCAGTTCGGATTGACAATGTAGTAGTGTTTCTTTCTCTCCAGTGTTGGCTGGAAGAAGCAACTATCCCGCACATAACGTGCGTCCTTTGGATGCTTTGATAACAGTGTTGAAGGTCTAGGAGCCACTCTCCCCTGTATCTTCTCATCCCGTGGCAGTGGTGACTTAGCAGAGGCTTTTTCACGTGGAGATGTGGTCACGTGGGGGTACTTTTGCGCTCGTGTAGCGCTAAGGCGATAAACCATTCTTGAAAGTGGTAGCACTTGTTCTGACGATGAACTATTCTGGTCTACGTTCTTACATGACAAGACTCTGTTTTCGGATGTTGAAGCGGTAAACCTGCCATACGCAGGAACGTTTGGAAGTTTTACTGTGTGATAACCTTTCCCCTCCAAACAATTGTTGGGATCTTGCACGGAATCACTAGTGCCTCGTTTTTTTAGCCCAAAATATTTTTGTTCGGGTTCGTAGCTTGTCATTCTGGCGGCAAACGGTGGCCTGAGATAGGTTAACTTAACAGCATCATCTAACTCATGCTTCGTAGCCAATGTGGGCCGCCGAGGTCCGAGCCATGCATATTTCGGCACTTGACTATACAAGATAGGTGCATCTGAGCTGCAATATTTTGTGTTGTATTCGGTTTGAAATGGCTTGGAGATGAATCTATTGAAGTAGCTTTGATATCCTGGGTAAAATAACTCCATTTTTTGCCGTGCTATAACTGTAAGGTGGATCTTTCTGCAGTTTAGCGTGTAGGACACTTTTAAAAAAATTCGTTCAATCCCTAATTCGCAGTTCCAGCTGGTATATAACACTCAGCCAACATTTTCAATCGCAAAAATGTCGCTCTTGAAGGATTCAAACAAACTTCTGTTGGAACAATCAGCCTCGAGCTGCTTGAAAACCCGAACTGAAAGTAAGTGCCTGTAAAAGACTGGCCGATGGCTAACTTACTTGCTTAACTTTCTTGTGTCTAAGTTGTCAACGAAACTAGTTGCTATGGATAGTGCATTAACTGTGATAAATTTTTAATAAGAAGTGTCTCTTTTGAATACCAATCTCTGTAGGAAATAGGCACCATTCTATTACGGCATGAATGAAGACTAAACAAAAAGGGACAATTGTCATTAGCACGAACTGATAATTATTTGTATCCTAGTGAATATGATGCAAAGCTGTTTGCTCTACAGATCGATTTTCTTCCTTATAACATCAATACCTCTAGATTTGTCATCTTTTAATAAAAATAACACATTCGCGGTACTGTTGCCGATACAAAACAATCATCCAATTTGTTTAAAAGTTCCTTCAGTCTAGTACCCATGAAAACTGCTATATAGAGGCGTTAAATATTTGCATAAACTTAAGCTCACACTATGAACAGCTTGCGCAGTGCGGGAAGTCGACTAAACTATTGTACTTGCTGTAAAAATAGATTCTAGTTTAAAAAGATTCTATCGTTTCCACACTGGGAAAGGAGAATACAGAGGTTAATTTTAAAATTTTGGCCACATTCTTTACTGATGTCTTCCTCGCAATTTACACGTTTTTGCTCAACTGATACCCCTCGATGGTAAATGATCCTTCGCTTTTGAGTTTTATGAAAAACATGCAAATAAATAAAAAATCGTATGTGGACTATGACGATTTGGTCGTCGTTAGAAAAGATTATAATAAACAGCATAAATCCCTGATTAGGCAGGTCTGAGAAGAGTATATGGTTGCTCAACGACATAACGTTCTACAAACATTAAGAAAGCCTTAGAATATTAAAAAATTTAAGTGCTGATGTTGACATTTGAGAAGTTAGAAATCGTATTTGCCACAAAAACTTCCTCCAACTGACCTTTGGGGTCTTAACTAAGCAAAAGATTTACCTTCGTTCACAAAACCTTACGAATAGGGATTTTAAGTTAAAAGAACATGATATCGTGCTTGTGGAACTACTAATAATTAAATTGAGTAACTCTTTATTGCCCATAGTTTTAAGGCAAGGCTTTTAAAAGGGGTGTTTGAATCCTTCACTCTTCTGAAGTGGTGAAAGTACAGAAATTCAAGAGACAATTCTTGGAAAATAAAAAAGGGGCCAATTTTTGGGACTCAAAATATGGCTATCGTGCAATTTCATTCGAGTGTGAACGCCACTGTTCATTTTTTACGGGCTTAGCTGGAAGATACCGATTTCGGAACAATTTTGTTTAGTTATTTTTTTCCCAGGTCACTGTGTGCTCAGCTGCCGATACCGGTAATAAATTTAAAAAATTCTACATCCGTCCTGTCTGAGTAGATCAATCGATACGTCCAGTCCATAATGCAATTTTCCTAACTCGACAAAAATTATCAAAACTGACAGCATCTTGTTTTCAAAACTGAAACGGAATAAACTTATATACCAAAAATTGTCGGAGTTTGTCAGTGCACATAGTATTTCATTCTTACTACAATACATACCAGTGACTTCCTCGGAAATTACTAATTTTAATTTATCAAAGAAAATAAAATATGATTCGCTAGTTCATTTAAGCACACCTTAAATAGGATAGGATGTGATTCAACAGAAAAATTGCCGAATGTGGAAGGAAACTAGTCTCGACTAACTTTCGTGCGCAAATAGGAAAATGATTTTTCCTTCTCACATTTTCCTTAATAAACCGGCTAGGAAGGCAAAGATAAAAGTAAAATCCGTATGGAAGAAAGAGTGAAATATGTTTCAGAAAGACCTTTTCGCTGTACTTCGAGTTTCAAGAGGAATGTACTAAAACTTCAGATGTTGTATTAACGGCTCTCATGAAAGAACTCAATTTTCCAAAATTAAAATGTAAACACTGATAGTCATTTTTAACAGGTTATGTAAATTTTATAGCAGCGTTGATACTCATCAGTAATTCACCAGCGGTCATTGGCTCAAGTCAGGCCGAGCTAACTTAACCAAACAAAGTATTCTTGCGTATGAAGTAATTCCTACGCTCCGATACCCATTCCGGGCTTATGACGAAGAAGCTTCGCGTCGGTTCGTTCGCCGGATGGAAGAAGCACTGTTTGTCAATGAAACGAAATTCTTTCGGATAACGCGAAAATTCACTCTGCGGTCTTCGTGCCACTAAGCTCTGGGGTCGTCTGAGTACATCTTTCGTACCAGTTCGTTCGTGCCTCGAGCCTGCCGACGTCGGAGTCGTAGATTTCCGACCACTACTGCGACTCAATTCGGAAATGTTACTGCTTGGTCTTTGTACAGCACTTCTTGCTCTTGCAGTTGGCGATGGCTGTAATCCTTGCAGATTTATTCTGGCAGGATAGTTTCTTCTTTGGTGAAATGGTAACTGAATCACCCGAGAGGTCTCTGGTTTCTGGGCCTCGTCCCATGCGGACATTCTTACACAAGGCCATAATCCTGTTGGAATTCGGATGTTCTGTATTGGGACACGTTCCCCTGTATAGTTTGTCGCATATTCACTCTTGTAGGTTGACTTACTGATTGTCTCTTGCAAAAGCCCTGGCTCCTTTCCGTTTTTTTCCGGCATTTCGTCGTAAAATCAAATGTCCCAGGCAAAATTAAGTGTA